AGGAGAAGAGAATCAAGGCACGGAGACGAATGCTGGGTAACATTAGACTTATTGGGGAGTTGTACAAGAAGAAAATGTTAACTGAGAGAATTATGCATGAATGCATCAACAAATTACTCGGTGAGCATGAGAATCCTGATGAGGAAGATGTTGAGGCTTTATGCAAATTAATGAGTACGATTGGAGAAATGATTGACCAGCCCAGAGCAAAGGTGCATATGGATGCTTATTTTGAGATGATGGCAAAGCTGGCTAACAATATGAAATTATCTTCTAGGGTTAGATTCATGTTGAAAGATGCTATTGATCTGAGAAAGAATAAGTGGCAGCAGAGGAGGAAAGTTGATGGGCCTAAAAAGATTGAGGAAGTGCACAGAGATGCTGCTCAAGAGCGACAAACACAAACCAGTAGGCTTGCCCGTGGTCCTGGCATCAACCCTGGTGCAAGAAGAGCACCCTCGGATTTTGGTCCTCGAGTGTCTAAGTTATCTTCTCCTGGGGCTCAGATGGGTAGTTATCGTGGGTCTTACACTCAGCACCGTGGTCCTGGGGCTCAGGATGTTTACATGGATGATAGACAGTCTTTTGAGGCCAGGAATTTACCAGTTCCCTTGACTAAAAGACCGGTCGGTGATGATTTTATTACCTTGGGACCCCAAGGTGGTCTAGCTAGAGGGATGGCTTTTAGAGGACCACCAGCAACGGCAAGTACTCCCGTAGCTGATGTTTCTCCACTTTCAGGAGACACAAGAAGAACTTCTGCTGGTTTTAATGATTTTAGTTCTCCCGCAGCCTCTCCTGTCGCTGCTCGTGCTCAAGGCCAAACATCAGGTTTCACTCAAAATATTCTTTCCGAAAAGAGCTGGCCTGAGGAGCGCCTGATGGAAATGTCTATGGCTGCTATTAAAGAATTTTACAGGTATCCTCTTGGCTCAACGCTGATTGTAATGTCCTCATACTAGCCTTTCTGTTTCCTTTTAACATGCATTTGTATAAATGCGAATACATTCATCTGCACACATGCACTGTACTTTTTAGTCGTTGACAGAAAGTTGAAACGAAAAACTGCTCCTGAAAGGCGTCTCTTTAGGATCTCAAATACTAAATTTACAGGAGGGCATTCTAATAATCTGACTACAATTAAATTGCTCAAATTCTGTCTTGTCACTTGATCATATTTAGAAGCAAATATTTTTGAAAATTTCTTGTTATTTCTAAACTTGAAAGGATATTGAGATTTGTATGTTGATAATAATACTGATGTCTTGGTTTAGCTCTAAATACCTTCAAAGTATGTAATTAACATGTATCTTACATGATTTTGATGGTAATACTGATGTATTGATTTCAATTGAACAGTGCTGCTGCTGATAGTAAACTTGAAAAGTTATTGTAAGATTTTAAATTTCTGATCATCGGATATTGATATTTGAAGGCTTATTTTATTTTATTTTATTTTTATGAGAGTATGTTGTTTAAGCATTTATTATATAATTTTGGTAGCGATAGGTGTTGTTGATTAACTTAGAATTGTAGTACATATGTCTACTGTTGTCCTTATTTTATCTACAGTTTTGATTGATCATAATATACGGTTATGTCTTTCAAGTAGTGAACATATTGGCTTTTAATTCTTGCAGTGCTAGAGATGAGAAAGAAGTTGCTTTGTGCATCAAAGATTTGCACTCTGAAAGCTTCCACCCGACAATGATCGCCCTTTGGGTAACAGACTCGTTTGAGAGAAAAGACATGGAACGAGATCTTTTGGCGAAGCTACTTGTCAATCTGGCAAGGTCCCATGATGGTGTGTTGAGCCAAGTTCAACTTGTTAAAGGGTATGAGAATCATTTAACTATATCTACCTACCTGTGTTTTCCGGATCCAAATCAGCCATGAGTGCATTTAACATGGATATTTAGCGAACCAGTTTCTGAAATCATTATATATTTTTGAGCGTTTTTATCCTTGTTTTCTTCATTCAGGTTTGAGTCTGTTCTCAGTACATTGGAGGATGCAGTGAACGATGCTCCGAAAGCTGCGGATTTTCTCGGTCGAATCTTTGCCAATATCGTAGGTGAAAATGTGATTACCCTGAGTGAGATTGGGGGTTTAATACGTGACGGCGGGGAGGAGCCAGGTCGACTACTAGAAACTGGGCTTGCTGCCGATGTTCTTGGAAGCACCTTGGGTGCAATTAAGACCGACAAAGGAGAAACTTGTTTAAATGAAATCCTAGCAAGTTCGAGTCTGCGATTGGAGGACTTTCACCCTAACAAAACCAGTATTTTAGAGAAGTTTGTTGTTCATTAGTAAATATATAAAACCAAGTATTGCCTTCTCTTTTATTGATGGAATACCCAGAGACACTCAAGAGAAATAAAAGAAAGGACAATTTATCTCTAATTGGCTACTACTATTGCCCTCTCATGATGACAATGAGCACCACACAAACATGATACCCATTGGCAAATTTCTGAACTATGCTCGCCGAGGTATGTCTATAGTGCCAACATTTATATGTTTTTTTAAAATTACAATATAAGTTGTTTATGTACGTAAAGTTCATGTTTGAATTCAAGTTCGAGTTTGACTGACTTTGGGTTTGAATTTTAATCGAGTTAAGTTTGATAATGTTTTAAGTTCATTTTTTGAGCTCGAATTGAACTTTAATTTTTGATTTCGAATCGAGCATGAAAATTCTAACTTCACTAGCTTTCGTGTGAGTTTCAATTTCCGATTTCAAGTTTGAGCCGGACTTGATAATTTTAAGCTCGCTAGTTTTCGAATTGTGTCGAGTCGAGTTCAATTTTAAACTTTTAAAATCAATTTGTGCTTATCAATACTTGATAATTTTAAGCTCGTTAATTTTCGAATTGTGTCGAATCGAGTTTTAAACTTTTAAAATCAATTCGTGCTTATCAATACTCTAACTCGATTCAGCTCGTTTACAATCTTGTACATGACAAGTTACATTTACCACAATGATGTTATTCATCTAGAAAGATATATAATTATGGTTGTTTAATTTAAAAAGTATGTACCTTAACTCTTAAATTGAAAAGTAGTTTAGATATTTAATATTTAATCAATCATTTTAGATTTAAAAGATCGATAACTAGGATTTTTCATGGACGATTAATCATATCGTTTAGCCTAAATGATTGGTTAACTGTTATAATGGTTATGAGATTTTCTAATCGTAACCTAACCATTAAGAAATGGTTAATCACTAACGGTTAACAATTATTAACAGTTCGGTTACAGGTTAACCTACTATAAAATTTTTTCAACCTATTATAATTATTTGTAAAAAAATTTCATGATTCATACTACAAAAAAAGTGTGACACTTAACACATACTAACACTGATATAAGTGAAAAATAAAAATATATATATTATATTAATGTACTTACATCTTCCAATATATTAGTACCTAACAATAAACATATAATTATATTAATGTAAGTATGTTTATGTATTTTCAAAGAAATAAAAAATAAAAAATTAATAAATTATTTTTGTTTGAATTTTAGTATATATATATTATAAATAATAGAAAATTATATTAAGTTATTTATATAAAAATACAGTTATAAATTTAATTTATTAACACTTAACTATTTATCAAAATTTATAACCGTAACATTAACCGTTAACTATAATTTTTAGCAATTCGGTTAACTGAAACAATTTATTATTAATGTGCCGGTTAATTAAGTTATTAAATATAACGTTTACATCGATTAACAATTACAGCCGATAACATTAGATAAATTTTGAGTAAATAAGTTAGTGTATTAGGGTTTATTGAAAAGCTATATATATATATATATATATATATATATATATATATAATATATATATATATATATATATGACTAAAATTAGTTTAGAAAACTTACCTAAATATTTCATTTTCTTTCTAAAAAAAATTGGTGACTTTCTAAACGTGAAGATGTCAATTTATTATTATTTTTTCTTGCTTTTTCATTCATCCATTCGTGTTATCAGTGCAAAAAAAGGTACATTATTTTATTATAGTTTTTTTTATATTTAAAATATTATATAAATATATTTTTATTTAATCTATATTAACTTATATAATATATTTTGGAGAACAAAATGGGACGAAAACTCTTCACGAAATTAAAAAATTCTATTTTTCTTATCTGTTTCTTATTCTGTAAAAGAGTACGAGGTAGATGCTAAAACTTCACTTCTCTACAATTACAAGAACAACATCAATGGCTTTATTGCTAAGCTTACTTCGAATAAAGCATCCAAGGTCTCTTGTAATTAATTTACTATTAATATTTTTTGAATAATTCTCAAGTTAAGTTGAATTAAAATTTGAATCTCATTTTAGAATTTATGATTGAAATGTTAATAATTTTTAATTTTTTTACAAAAATAGAGAAGATAATATAGGCGATTCTTTCACAAAAAAAATAAAAATAAAACATAGACAACAAGATGAGATTTCGTGGGATTAAATAATCATTCATCGAGTGGAGCTCCAATGAGATCTCTTTATCTAACGGTTAAAAATAAATTATATCGACAGTTAGAATTAAATTTCGCCTACCACAAATAATATAACTAAAAATTTAATCATATAATTCGCATGAAATGTTCACATTGTTCCAATTGTGTGTTTTCACATAACATTTATTTGCTAAATTAGCTTTTTCTTTTCTCAACTTTTCCCGAACAAATGGACGTAAAACAAGAAAGCCTCAAAGATAACAAAACAAACCTATATTATGTTCTTGTAAGATGTTAAGGTTTGATTTTTTCCACAATAAAAGCATGAAATCCGTTGAACCAAACGATTCATTTCCATAGCATCGGCCAAATGATTTTTGTTTAGGATCTATTTAAATCAGATGTAATTGATTCTTTCTACTCATTCATTAGCATTACGCAGGTTCTCTATACATCTTAGAGAAACTGCAATAATCTTTTGAGTCATCCCTTCTTTTTACATAGATATACGTATCAATAGGGATATCAAAGAAAAGTTAACACGTTTATAACAAACTATTAAGAATTAAAAAGAGAAGATGTCACGACAAGATCTTATTGTTTTTGCATTTGTTTTAGTGGCTGTTGTTGGGGCATTTGCTGGCGATTCATCACCTTCACCAGCCTCTTCTAAAGGCTCTTCACCTTCTAAGTTCCATGCATCTTCCCCCAAGTCCTCCTCCGGTAGTCCCTCTCCATCATTGTCAAAATCTGGTGGAGGGTCACCCAAGTCATCTCCGTCGGAAGCCTCAAAAAGTTCTTCAAGCTCATATTCTCCCAACCCTAGCCCCAAGTCAAAGAAAGGATCCTCTTCAGACTCTAAGTATCCGAACGAGGAGGTGTCTTCCCCTCCTTCACCACCCCATAATGATGATGTTTCTGAGTCTCCTGTTCCTACCCATAAAAGGAAGGGTGTTAAATTTGACAGTGATAGCCCTAAATCTGATGGTCCCGCATTAGAATCAGCACCAGAGCCTACACCCTCTAATGTTGTTGCTATCAAAGCCACCAAAATTATTGGTGTTGCAGCTATTATCGGTTTCTTCCTCTTCTAAGCTTCACATCCATATGTTCATTGAGGGCCTTGATACGGTTATTAGGTTAATCATCCCAATTTGATGCACCAATAAATAATCGAATTTATCATCTTAAAGGTACAAGATGGTATGTTTAACATATATGTTCATATCAAAGAAAAATGGTCATAACATTACCGATTTATCATACTTTGTTCACATATATAAACATAAATTCGATATTCGGTACAAACATACATTGATGAATATACATCATAAATAAATGAATTAATTACGATAACACATCACATCATCGGTACCCAAACATGCAATATACATAATACACTCCAGCTTATACATTGATGAATATGGTTCGAATTGAGTTTTGTAAAGGGTGAAGTTGGGTTAGGTTTAGGGTGATAAATCTCTTATCTAATTTGGGATTATAGTATAGATTTCTTCTATATATTTATAGTTAATTACTATAACACTTCTCTTTATTTTTTTAATTAAATCTTTATTTTGATGAAAAAAGAGAGTATATTTTTGTCGAATCATATCAAATCAAATGCATATTTTTATCTCAAAATTCAAATTAAATTTAGATCGAATAGAACTTCCTTAAACTCAAATTAAATCAAATTTGAATAAAAAATATACTTATCGATTTAAATTGACTGAAAACCAACCCATCTCAATCCCTTATCTTTAGACACACACACACACACACACATATATATATATATATATATATATATATATATGGCAACAAAATTTCCTCATGCACAATCCATTTTTATAATTATCTTTAGGAGTACTTTCCACAAAAATAGGTTTTTTTGTCATTACTCCAAGCGGATAAGTTAATTGGACCAATGGGTCAACTACGAATTTATTTTACAATTTATGACAAATGCTACAGTAAAGTACGGACTAATCACATCGAGATGATGGGTTTGATAAAAAATATTTTTTAATGACCCCAGATCTGTGGGTCACATGTGAGTTAATATTATAATATATTTTCCAAGACTCGTCACTTTAAGGTGATAAGTCCTGTTTAAAGTTAATTTTTTAAAATTCAATAATTATTTTTTTAAAAAAATAAATAAAAAATTAAGTAACTCGTCACGTCGAGGTAATAAGTTTGTGTTGAATTTAAAAAGACACTAGTCATTTATAGCCGTTGTACAACGATCAGATATCAATGGTCAAGGCGAATCTCGTCACCTCGAGGTGATGAGTTCGCTGAGATTTTACCGTTTATAGCTATTGGGCTTGAGTCTATAAATAAGGGTTTGAGTTTTAGGATTTCTATTATATATTGTTAAGCAAAAAGAAAAGAAAAGAGAAAATCATTTTTTTTGAAGAATTATAAAAATGTGTACCCGATATGAAATATTACGGATGTTGTCCATATTTCTTTGATCGAACTCAATCCAAAAGAAGAACGGGACATTCGTCAACGAGAAATGACACAGAGTGATCTGCATCAGCAGAGTATTATATATCTACAACAATCAGGCTGTATCGAATCACATTTTGTGTGGTTTTAGAGCTTGAAATATTACAAGAGTTCTTTACAACAAAACTCAATAGCTGGATACAAGCCGACCTACAAGATGTTAAACAAAGACGAGAGCTGGAGCTTGCTGTTTGGATCAATCTTATGGTGCCTTTGGACCCGAAAAAACAAAATAATATTCGAACCAGAAGCAATAGACGATGAAAGTGTACTACGACGAGCCAGTAGAATGTGTTCGGAAGCAACCGCTGCAGCTGAATCGAACAACATAAGACAAAGAGCCACACCAAGGCCGAGGAACGCCAACGAGACTTGGATCGCTCCTCCACAAGGATGGCATCGGATGGAGCTCAAAACCCGGCTACAGAATTAGCAACTTGCGGAGGAGTACTTGGAGACTCGGAGGGAAGTTGGGTATCGGGGTTCTCGAAAGCGTTAGGGAAATGTACACAGTCTTAGACGTAGAGCTAAGGGGTGTGTTCAAAGGACTGTACATGGCGTGGAATTTAGGATTACGGAGGTCGAGACAGATTGTGAGGAGGTCGACGAATTACTCCGACAAGGAAGAACAATGCATGGAAAAACTATATTTGTAGGTGAAAAAAATTTCAAGATGAATTAATTGATGGAAAAACTAATGTATGTCAAAACGAGATTTTACGAGCTCAGTAATGTCAATACTGTTCCGAAAACAACGTTAAATCGACCGGCAGCCGTATAGTATCTTGGTAAAGTGCCGGACTACTTTTACCGGCCGGTGTTTTACTCGGATCAAAGAATGTGGAGGTATATGCATGCATAGCATGGATCAAAATCCGGGTAAAACCGAGAGATCTGCCACACCTTTCGGAAGGTCTGCGATTAAGCACAGCCTGTTCTTTCTAATTCTTTCGTCCTCCTGCACACGAAAGCCATAACAGTGAAAATCACTTTAAGCTCAGCAGGAGGCTCATGCATGAACTTGTACCAATTGAATACGGGGAAATCAATTTCAAACAAGCTCTACTCTCTGCTTTGTTTACGAACGTAAATGGTCCGATCTTAATCAAGAGATCACAGGCTCATACACCTGTTTATTTTAAAAGCTTGTTTCGATCAACTTAACTCGAGCATATGAGCTATGTCAGGTACATGGACTGGTATTATAAACAAGCAGATTGATAAACGATGCGAGTAAGACGTGAAGACAACGTACCACCATCACAAATACTTCATTGAAAAAAAATCAAGGGTTGTATTAGCTCTGAAGATATTTCAATGAAATCATCAACCTCAATACCTGTGCATAATCGGAGTGCCGTTTTTAGCTACAAAAGACGGTAACTCAACAGCACTCGCAGGCTGGTAATAAACTGAGAAAATACCAGGGTGAATGTTGTTCTTAACCGACAAGAAAGTGCCCCATAGAGCTCTCTCTTCATTTGTTTCAAATACAGCATCGTCCACCTAATAAATATGATTATATGCCGTCAGATTCCGGAGTTTGCAACTGGTGCATCTTAACAGGATTCAAGGTTTAATTCATAGTTCATGATCAAATAGAAGGACAAGATCTAATCCGACATCGATTTGGTCAAAGTTCGAATGTCGTCTATTGGGCATTTCATTACTATCCAATTTTAGTATTAAAATAAACATTTCTTGGGTGCACTCCAAGATGTACTTTCTACCATGGCTCAGTGTTGGTATCAGATGTGAACTGATTATGGAGGGACATCATTTCAGACAAACTAGCAACCAGGTTCGCTTACTTTATGTGCAGTTTCAGCAGCCAGACAAGGCAAGTTTGCACGCTCTGCAAGGGCGGAACGAACCACTTCTGGACTTATTCCCTTGTCAACCTGTAGCAATATAATACAGCTTATCTCCATAAATTTCCCAATTTCACTAAGAGTTGGCATAACCTCCACTAGCATATTATTATCTTGCTCCATTCTGAGATTGGAGGTTTTCCAATTCGGTTGTAATTACCGTTCATGTTTATATGATTGGAAGTAATAAATCAAGAAATCATTTCAAGATTAAAAACTAATAAATTGCAAGCATATTTACGTTGGGAATTAAACTAGTAATTTTCTTCTAATCAGATTAGTGAGAATACGAAATAAAAGCGGAAAAATAATACCCGAAATTAATAACGGAGTTCGACCAATTATGCCTACGTCTCCAGACCGCTGCAGATCTTTTACTAAAGAAATAAAATTTACAAGTGTTTACAAAACACTCACAACTCACAAGAAAACTCTCTAAACTCCTTAGTATTGGGAGTAAGAAATGATTTGAGATGATTTTGAAGCTAAATGAGTTAGGATATTTATAGTTGAAACTTAAGGACTAATCTTGTAAATTTGATGTCTCCTTTGTTGAAAACCATCCGACGGTGCTTCCTTTTGACTTTCACTTTCAACAATTTAAGCACCAAATAGAACACAACCAAATGATAAAATAAATTGGCTAAACTAACCATCCCTACATTTCCATTCACAGTATTGTTAAAAGCATTTTTTTTTTGAAAAAAATGAAAAAATGTAATTGGCATGACTGCAGAGGAAGTAAACATAAAATATATTGGCATGACTGCAGAGGAAGTAAACATAAAATATATTCTAATTTTATAGAAAATGAAAAAGAAGTTATAATCTGGACACGTGTCAGAAAATGAATGGATAACAGTTTTTATTTAACGACCATTACATCTCGAGCACCTAAAGGACTAACGTTTGTAACGTTAAGCACCAGGATGGGCAAAAATATATTGTAGGCACATATTTAACACAAAAGGTATAGTTTGGGCACATATTTGGGCAAATGATAATAATGACTTAATCAAAATATGAGTTAATTTCATCACATGTCCCCAAACTATAACACTTATTTTAAATGTGTCTTTACTTTTGAATAATTTAATTTCATCTCCAAACTATGAGGTCCTTACACTTTTGAATATTCTAACTTTATCTCTAAACTATGAACCTTTTTCTAAATTAGTCCCCAAACTTTTGAATGTTTCAATTTTATCCCCAAATTCACCCAAATATGTAATTAATTTCAATCATAATTTAACCTAAATTTTGTTTTTTCAAACATATATTAGTATAACTTGCCCTAACAATTTTATTAACAAGGGATGTGATTAGTATATACATATAATTTGGGATAAAATTAAAATGCTTAAAAAGTTTAGGGACCAATTTCATCCAAATATGTGATTAATTTCAACTATAGTTTAAATTAAATTTTGTTTTTCTTTCAAACATATAATAATATAATTTGGCCCAATGATTTTATTAACAAGAGATATTATCATTATATACGTATAGTTTATGATGAAATTAAAATATTCAAAAAAATCGATGACCAATTTACAATGAATGTCATAGTTTAGGGATGAAATTAGAATATTAAAAAGTTTAAGACCAACTTAAAAGATGATTCATACTTTGAGGACATGTGATGCAATTAACTTATTTTAATTCGAATCAAATTGTGTAAATTATGCATTCAATACCTAAACTATCAATTTTAGTCTATTTTAACACCTAAACTTTCAATTTTTTCAAAATC